CTGAAGCTTTCATTCTTTATTTGCCTCAATCCCATGTAAAAGCAGCACTACTTGGCTTTCCCATATTTTTCCAAAAATGTATTTGTATTTTGCCTAGTTTTATATTCCAACTATTCAGTTCTGTTAAAGTAGATTGGATCAAAGCTATGCTGTAGACTTAAGCATCATATCCCAAATTTTAATAAGCATACTGAATTACTGACAATCTTGTTAAAATATGGATTCTCATTCTATAGGTCATTGGTTAGGGACTAAGTTCTTGTTTTTCTAACAAATCGAGAGGGGACAAAATTGATGGTCTTAAGCTGAGGCCCTAAAGCCGTGCTTCTCAAACTTTAGCATGCTACAGAATCACCTGGAGAGGTTATTAAAAACAGATTCCTGGGCCTCACGCCAGAATCTGATTCAGGAGGACCGAGGTGAAATTCAAGATTTAGCATTTATTTTCTTTTTTTCTTTTGTAATCAATGAGTTTAGTTTGATAACTTAGAGGTTTATAAAATTTCTTTTTTTATTATTTTACTTTTAAGTTCTGGGATACATGTACAGAACGTGCAGATTTGTTACATAGCTAAATGTGTGCCATAGAGGTGTGCTACACCTAATGCCTTGGCCTCTAAGTTTCCTCCCCTTGCCCCCCAATCCCCAAGAGGCCCCTGACGTGTGATGTTCCCCTCTTTGTGTCCATAATTTCTTATTGTTCAACTTCCACTTATGAGTGAGAGCTTGCGGTATTTGGTTTTCTGTTTCTGTGTAACTTTGCTGAGAATGATGGCTTCCAGCTTCATCCATGTCCCTACAAGGGACATGATCTCATTCCTTTCTATGGCTGCATAGTATTCCATGGTATATATGTGCCACATTTTCTTTATCCAGTCTATCATTGATGGGCATTTAGGTTGATTCTATGTCTTTGTTATTGTAAACAGTGCTGCAATGAACACATGTGTGTATGTGTTTTTATAGTAGAATGATTAATTTATATTCCTTTGGGTATATACACAGTAATGGGATTGCTGGGTCAAACGGTATTTCTGGTTCTAGATCCTTGAGGAATCACCACACTCTCTTCCACAATGACTGAACTAGTTTACATTCCCACCAACAATGTAAAAACATTCCTATTTCTCCACAGCCTTGCCAGCATCTATTGTTTCTTGATTTTTTCATAATCACCATTCTGACCGGCATGAGATGTTATCTCTTGGTGGTTTTGATTTTCATTTATCTAATGATCAATGATGTTAAGCTTTTTTTTCATATGTTTGCTGGCCACATAAATGTCTTCTTTTGAGAAATTTCTGTTCATATCCTTTGCCCACATTTTGATGGGGTTGTTTTTTCTTGTAAATTTGTTTAAGTTCCTTGTAAATTCTGGATATAAGACTTTGTCAGATGGGTACATTGCAAAATTTTCTCCCATTTTGTAAGTTGCCTGTTTACTCTGATGATAGTTTCTCTTGCTGTGCAGAAGCTCTTTAGTTTAACTAGATCCCATTTGTCAATTTTGGCTTTTGTTACCATTGCTTTCAGTGTTTTTGTCATGAAGGCTTTACACATGCCTATGTCCTGAATGGTACTGCCTAGGTTTTCTTCTAGGATTTTTATGGTTTTGAATTTTAAATTTAAGTCTTTAATCCATCTTGAGTTAATGTTTGTGTAAGGTGTAAGGAAGGGGTCCAGTTTTAGTTTTCTGCTTATGGCTAGCCAGTTTTCCCAGAACCATTCAGTGAATAGGAGATCCTTTCCCCATTGCTTGTTTTTGTCAGGTTTGTCGAAGATCAGATGGTTGTAGGTGTGTGGTGTTATTCTGAGGTCTCTTTACTGTTCCATTGGTCTATATGTCTATTTTGGTAACAGTGCCATACTGTTTTGGTTACTGTAGGCTTGTAGTATAGTTTGAAATCAGGTAGTGTGATACCTCCCGCTTTGTTCTTTTTGCTTAGAATGTCTTGGCTACATGGGATCTTCTTTGATTCCATATAAAATTTAAAATAGTTTTTTTCTAATTCTGTAAAGAATATCAATGGTTGTTTGATGGGAATAATATCAAATCTACGAATTACTTTGGGCAATATGGCCATTTTCATGATGTTGATTCTTCCTATGCAGGAAGATGAAATGTTTTTCCATTTGTTTATGTACTCTCTTATTTCCTTGAGCAATGGTTTGTAGTTCTTCTTAAAGAGGTCTTCCACATCCTTTGTTAGCTGTATTTCAGGGTATTCTATTCTCTTTGTAGCAATTGTTAATGGGAGTTATTTCATAATTTCACTCTCTGTTTGTCTATTATTGGTGTAAAGAAATGCTTGTGATTTTTGCACATTGATTTTGTGTCCTGAGATGTTGCTGAAGTTACTGATCAGTTTAATGAGTTTTTGGGCTGAGATGATAGAATCATGTCATCTGCAAACAGAGACAATTAGACCTCCTCTCTTCCTGTTTAAATACCTTTGTTTCTTTCTCTTGCCTGATTGTCCTGGCCAGAGCTTTGAATACTATGTTGAATGGGAGTGGTGAGAGAGGGCATCCTTGTTTTCCCAAAGGAAATGCTTCCAGCTCTTACCCATTCAATATGGTATTGGCTGTGTGTTTGTCATACATCTCTCTTATTATTTTGGGGACATGTTCCATCGACACCTAGTTTACTAAGAGTTTTTAACATGAAGGGATGTTGAATTTTTAAAAGGCCTTTTCTGCATCTGTTGAGATAATCATGTGGTATTTGTCTTTGGTTGTGTTTATGTGATGGATACATTTATTGATTTGCATATGTTGAAACAGCCTTGCATCCCAGCGATGAAGCCTACTTGATTAAGGTGGATAAGTTTTTTCTGATGTGCTGCTGAATTTGGTTTGCCAGTATTTTATGATTTTTGCACCAATGTTCATCAGGGAAATTGACCTGAAGTTTCCATTTTTTGTTGTATCTGTTCCTGGTTTTGGTATCAGGATGATGCCAGCTTCATCAAATGAGATAAGGAGGAATCCCTCCGTTTAAAATTGTTTCAGAAGAAATGGTATCAGCTTCTCTTTGTAAGGGTAGAATTCTGCTGTGAATCTGTCTGGTCGTGGGCTTTTTTGGGTTGGTAGGCTATTAATTACTGCCTCAATTTCAGAACTAGTTATTGGTCTGTTCAGGTATTTGACTTCTTTTTGGTTTAGTCCTGGGAGGGTGTATGTGTTCAGGAATTTATTCATTTCATCTAGATTTTTTACTTTATTTGCATAGAGGTGGTTATAGTGTTCTCTGATGATAGTTTGTATTTCTGTGGGGTCAGTGGACATATCCCCTTTATCATTATTTATTGTGTCTATTTGATTCTTTTCTCTTTTCTTCTTTATTAATCTAGCTAGCAGTCTATCCATTTTGTTAATTTTTTTCAAAAAAACAGCTCCTGGATTCATTGATTTATTGGAGGGTTTTTCATGTCTCTATCTCCTTTAGTTCTTCTCTGATCTTAGTTATTTGCTGTCTTCTGCTCACTTTTGTATTAGTTTGATCTTGCTTCTCTAGCTCTTTTAATTGTGATGTTAGAGTGTCGATTTGAGATCTTTCTAGCTTTCTGATGTGGACATTTAGTGCTATAAATTTCCCTGTTAACACTGCTTTAGCTGTGTCCCAGAGATTCTGGTACACTGTCATTCTTGTTTTCACTGGTTTCTTAGAACTTCTTGATTTCTGCCTCAATTTTATTATTAATCCTGGAATCATTCAGGAGCAGGTTGTTCAATTTTCATGTAATTGTACTGTTTTGAGTGAGTTTCTTAATCCTGAGTTCTAATTTGATTGCACTGTGGTCTGAAATACTGTTTGTTATGATTTCAGTTCTTTTGCATTTCCTAAGGAGTGTTTTACTTGAGATTATGTGGTTGATTTAAAAAAAAATGCTATGTGACACTGATAAAAATGTGTATTCTGTTGATTTAGGGTAGAGAGTTCGATAGACATCTACTGGGTCCACTTGATCCAAAGCTGAGTTCAAGTCCTGAATATCCTTGTTAGTTTTCTGTCTCCTTACTCTGTCTAATACTGACAGTAGGTTATTAAAGACTCCTACTACTATTGTGTGGAAGTCTAAGTCTCTTTGTGGGTCTGTAAGAACTTGTTTTATGAATTGCTCTTCTTGTTGAATTTTTCCCTTTACCATTATGTAGTACCCTTCTTTGTCTATTTCAATTTTTGTTGGTTTAAAGTCTGCTTTGTCTGAGACTAGAATTGCAACCCCTGCTTTTTTTTTTTTTTTTTTTGAGATGGAGTTTTGCTCTTATTACCCAGGCTGGAGTGCAGTGGCGCGATCTCGGCTCACTGCAACCTCTGCCTCCTGGATTCAAGCAATTCTCCTACCTCAGCCTCCTGAGTAGCTGGGACTACAGGCTGCACCACCATGCCCAGCTAATTTTTGTATTTTTAGTAGAGACGGGGTTTCACTACGCTGAACAGGATGGTCTTGATCTCTTGACCTAGTGATCCACCCACCTTGGCCTCCCAAAGTGCTGGGATTATAGGCTTGAGCCACCATGCCCAGCCACAACTCCTGCTTTTTTTGCTTTCCATTTTCTTGGTAAATTTTCCTCCAACCCTTTATTTGGAGCATATGTGTGAGTCTTTGCACATGAGATGGGTCTCCTGAATACAGCACAGGGATGGGACTTGAATCTTTATCCAATTGGCCAGTTTGGGTCTTTTATTTGGGTCATTTAGCCCATTTACATTTAAGCTTTTTATTGTTATGTGTGAATTTGATCCTGTCATTGTGATGCTATCTTGTCATTCTGCATACAGATGCAGTTTCTTCATAGTGACACTGGTTTTTATATTTTGGTGTGTTTTTGCAGTGGCTGGTACCAGCTTTTCCTTGCTATATTTAGTGTTTCTTTCAGGTGGTCTTGCAAGGTAGGCCTGGTGGTAACAAAATCAGACATTTGCTTGTCTGAAATGATTTTATTTCTTCTGTGCTTATGAAGCTTAGTTTGGCTGGATATGAAATTCTTGGTTGAAAATTTTTTTCTTTAAGAATGCTGAATATTGGCTCGCATTCTCTTCTGGCTTGTAGAGTTTCTGCTGAGACGTCTGCTATTAGTGTGATGGGCTTCTCTTTGTAGGTTACCTGGCCTTTCTCTATGGCTGCTTTTAACCATTTGTCCTTCATTTTGACCTTGGAGAATCTGACGATTATGCATTCTGGTCTGATCTTCTTATGGAGTTTCTTAACGGTGTTCTGTGTATTTCCTGAATTTGCATCTTGGCCTATCTTGCTAGGTTGTGGAAGTTCTCCTGGATAATTCTTGAAGTGTGTTTTCCAGTTTGTTTCCATTCTCCCTGTCTCCTCTGGTACTCCAATCAATTGTAGGTTCAGTCTTTTTATGAAGTCCTATATTTCTTAGAGGCTTTGTTCATTCCTTTTCATTCTTTTTTCTCTAGTCTTGTCTTCATGCCTTATTTCAGAAAAGTGGTCTTCAAACTCTGATATACTTTCTTCCTCTTGGTCAATTCAGCTACTGATACTTGTGTATGCTTCACAAAGTTCTTGTGCTGTGTTTTTCAGCTCCGTCAGGTCATTTATATTTCTCTCTAAACTGGTTATTTTAGTTAGCAATTCCTTGAACCTTTTATCAATGTTCTTAGCTTCTTTGCATCAGGTTGGAATATGCTCCTTTAGCTCAGCATTGTTTTTTATTACGCATCTTCTGAAGCCTACTTTTGTCAGTGTTTCCATCTCATCCTCCATCCTGTTCAGTGCCCTTGATGGAGACATGTTGTTATCATTTAGAGGAGAAGAGGCACTCTGGCCTTTTGGGTTTTCAGCATTTTTTCATTGATTCTTTCTCACCTTAATGTCTGTCTAGTTTCGGTCTTTGAGGCTGCTGATCCTTGGATGGGGTTTTTGTGGGGGCTTTTTGTCATTGCTTTTGCTGTTGCTGCTGCTGTTGCTTTCTGTTTGTGTATTTTTCTTTCAATGGTTAGGTTCCTTTTCTGTAGGGCTGCTCTGGTTTGCTGGGGGTTCACTTCAGGCCCTATTCATCTGATTCATTCCTGTGCCTGGAGATGTTACTCAAGGAGGCTGGAAAATAGCAAAGATGGGTGCCTGCTCCTTCTTCTGGGATCTCTGACCTAGAAGGGGCACCAAATGATGCCAGCAGAATTGCTCCTGTATAGGGTGTCTGACAACCCCAGCTGGAGGGTCTCACCCTGTTGGTGGCACAGGGAACAGGACCCATTTTATGATGCACTTTGACAGTCCCTTGGTGGAGGGGGTGTGCTTTGCTGGGGGGCAACCTACTAGTCTGGGCTGCTTGGACTCTTCAGAACTACCATGAGGAAAGGCTATGTCTGCTGGTCCACAGAGAGTGCACCACCCTACCCCCAGAGGCTCAGGCCAGGGAGATCAGGGTTCTGATTTTGCATTTCTAATAAGCTCCCTGGTGATGCCAATGAGTAGCGAAGGTTTAGTGAATATATCTAAGAGATCCATAAGTGAACTGATTAAAAAAGTGTCATAAACTTAAACTCTTTTTGTTGTTGATTATTTGATTTGCAGGGGAAAGTGGATTTGGAAAACCTGCTCAGTATTTTTGATTGGGGCAGTCATTCTGTTTTTTTTTTCTTAGACACTTATAGACAGTGTCTCAAAGAAAAATGAGGGGGGATTTTACTCTGTCTTTGTTGCTCAGCCTGGAGTGCAGTGGAGTGATCACAACTGCAGCTTCAACCACCTGGGCTCAAGCGGTCCTTCTACCTCAGCTTCCCAAGTAGCTACCAACATATGCCACCAAGCCAGGCTTATTAATTTATTTATTTTGCAGAGATGGGGTCTCACTATATTGTCCAGGATGGTCTCAAACTCCTGGGGTCAAATGATCCTCCCACCTCTGCCTACCAAAGTGTTAGGAATACAGTTGTGAGCCACCACACCACACCTTCTATTTTCAAGTTAACCTTTGAATACAAGGAGAAATGTATGTGAATAAGGGCTATGAGTCTGGGAAGAAAATGAGAATCATGAAAGATGGTAAATAGCACAGGTTTTAAATCAGAGAACCCTGATTCACTATAGCCCCTCTCCCTCAATTTGAACTTTTTTCATCATAAATAAGGTAACTTGCATTTTATCTATGCTTTAGATCTGCATGTAAGGCTGCCAAGACACAAATATGGGACTCTAAATTTAAATATTGAAAGCTACCTGGCACTGGGACCATAGAAATTTCTAAATGATCAAGACCCATTTCTGTGGAGACTGCATGTGAGACACTGGATGACTATACATCTCTGTGTAATACAATAGGTCCATATTCTCTTCATGTCCTGTGTGACAGGGAGTGTAACTAGTCCATTAAACAGATGGTCTCATATACATCTTATGCCAAATCAACGAACAGATGAGAAAGTTTAAGCTGAGGACAACTGGGTCACAGACCTATTTGTCCAAAATCTGTGCTTTGGACCTTTACTACTCAAAGTGTGGCTGTTGAACCAGCAGCATCAGCGTCACCTACGAGGTAGTAAGAAATGCTAAATCTCAGGCTCCATGCCAGACCTATTTGATGAGATTCTGATTTTAACAAGATCTCACGTGATCACTGTGTATTTTAGAGCACTGCTTGGGCACACTCTGACACACTGTCTCCTTACCAAGACAGTATTTTTGCAGAGTCATTTTCTTTATTGGAAATACTTTAGCTCAGATCTAGTGAGACATCAAAGGCCGTCATTTTCATCACCAGCAAAGGGATGGTTTGATTGCTTTGGGAGGAGGACTGTTTGGCAGCACATCAGAGTTCAGGGGGAGCTGCATGTGCTGACACAAGCAATTTCTGGCTCTCTTGGGCTGGACTTGGGAACTGATGTGTAGCCATCATCCAGGAGTAAACTAGGTCATACAGCAGGGCTTGCCTTCCTAGGGCCGCTTTTTACTAAGGGTGAAGGCCCAACATCTGCAAGGGTCTTCAAGATGGTAGAGTTAGATTAAGAAAGCAAAGAATCATATCTCACTTGGCTTTTGGGGAACATTACAGATTCAAGTTTCTGGTGGTTTTTTTTTTTTTTTTTTTTGGCTGGAGTGCAGTGGTGCAATCTCAGCTCACTGCAACCTCTGCCTCCTGGGTTCAATGATTCTGCTGCCTCAGCCTCCCAAGTAGCTGAGTTTATAGGCATGCACCACCATACCTAGCTAATTTCTGTATTGTTTTTAGTAGAGTCGGGGTTTCACCATGTAGGCCAGGCTGGTCTCGAACTCCTGACCTCAGATGATCCACCCGCCATGGCCTCCCAAAGTGCTGGGATTACAGGCGTGACCCACTGCACCTAGCCTCAAGTTTCTTTTCTAAGAAGAGGAGATAATATGTGGCAGAGAAATTTAGCATCTGACTGAAATAGGAACTATTTCCCCCAGAGAGTTTCGGACAACTTTGGACAACTTTAGACAACTCTGCCAACCTCTATGTATTTGGTGAGCTGAAACAACAGCCATTTATTATTTCTTCACAAATCTACAGATGACCAGTGGTTCTGTGAATCTGGCCCAGGCTTGACTGACCCTGATAAGGTGCTCTCATGAGTCTCCTTTCAGATCACCAGGATGGTCTCAGTTGGGACATCTCTGCTCTGGTCCATGTATCTCTCATCCTCCTGTAAGCTAGTCCAGGCTTGTTCATTTTGTGGCTCAGTGAGATTCCAAGAAAATGAGTATAAGCATGCACAACGTCTTAAGGCCTAAGGTGACCTGATAGATTGTTACTTCTGCTGCATTTTACTGACTGAAGCAAATCAAAATAGCAGTGCATATTTAAAGGCTAGGGAAATAAACTCTGCTTTTTGACTGGAGGAGAAGAAAGGTCACATTGTCAAAGGACATGATAACAGGGAGGGTGGAGAGTTGAGGCCATGTTTGCAATCTGCTGTGTTCCTACTAACTGCCTCTCATTGGTTCCTTTTGAAACAGTTATTAGTACCTTGGTCTCAATTCCATTTTGCTGTTCATGGGCTGACCGCTTCTCTTGGCTAGATGCATTTGGGGCCTCTGCGTTTATTTAGGGTCTCTAATTGGCTAACTTAAAAATGCAAGACATCAAATACAGTAAAGACTGGTGGAAAAAAACAGTTAAGAGATTGAATACTTTTCATCCACATTTAAATCTCAGTGAGATAGCAATACATGCCTAGAATGTGCTAAAGGGAAAAAAACCAAAACAGACAATTGGCGTGTATTGCCAAAGATGTAGAATAATTGGAACTCTCATGTGCTGCTGATGGGAAGGTAGATCAGTACAACTGCTTTGTATAACTGTTTGGCATTATTCAATACGGCTAAGAAATGTACGTTTCATGAGCTAGAAATTCCTCTTCCAGGTATAGACCTATAAGAACTGTTAAATAAGTTCACCAAGAATGTACATAAAGGAATTTTTGTAACAGTGACAAGCAGGACATGCCTCACATTGTTTATCTACCATAGAATGAGTAAATATATTATTTTATAGTCTTGTGATGAAATACTATACAGTAGTAAAAATCAAAGATTTATAACTCTTTATAACAGTATGAAATATTTCACAAACGTAAGGTAAAACAAAATAAGTCAAAAGAAGACATGCTATATGACTCCATTTATTTAAGCTCTTAAACTGGCAAAACAAATTCATGGTATTAAAAACAAGTATAGTGGTTTTCTGTGGGCGATGTGTGCCAGGGCAGGCTGAAAAGGGGCTTCTGGAATGCTGGTAATGTTTCTTGATCTGGGGGCTGCTTACACAAAGTGTTTGTAAAGTAAAAATTCCAGCACTTTACCAGTAAAATTACCATACTTTTTGGTATTAATATTATGCATGAATAAAGCGGTGTTAAGAAAAAGTGATAGAAAAGAAATAAACCTGAATTCAAATCTAGTTCTCCTCTGTGTCCTTGAAGAACATTCTTGACTTCTCTGAGTACCAATTTCTTCAGCTGCACAATGGCAATAATTTAATATTATAATGGTCTTTATGAGGATTACATTTTAAGATGTATGTAAAGCTCTTTGTGCCCCAAAAATGTCAGTTCCTCCTCCTCCTCGCTGTGAAAAATGGCTAAAGTTGCATTTACTGTCCCAGATGTGCACGTCATAGTGCTTTCCTTATAATATTGCATGAAATCACATTCTGAATGTTGCTTCCAAAAAAAGCTTCTAAACTCTCCCTATTTTATTACTTATGCGTGTGAATATTATGAATTCTGGATGTTCTGTCTTAAGTGGGTTATAGCTTCATACATCATTCTACCATCATGGATGGTGCTTAGTTCTTTCCTTTTGTTTTTGCTGATTCTTTTGCTATTACCGAATGTCCAAATTTTAAGAAATTATTAACCACCATTTAGAGCAACAAATTCCTCAAGGAACTTTATAGCAGTAAAGTTACTACTTTAACGAACAAATAAAATAGTACAAAAACTTACTTTGTCTAACTTAAGGACCTAGAGCCATTCATCCTTCCGCATCAAGCTACTTCAAAATTATCCTGAGGCATAAGTGAGTGAATTATACAGGAAGAGCCTATCCTGGCTACTGACTGTCCGTGCCAGAAGCAGAGGCATACCACCTGTGTGTGACACGAGCTTGTGGGAAATCCCAACTCGTTTCCTCTGTTCTTGTTCTCCGGCACTTTGGAGCCACCTCATTGGAAGTGGAAGAAACAGAAACCGGTTTAGAGGTAATTTCAGAGATGCTGAGAAAGTTGGCTGCTCCCCAAAGCTGTTCTCTGTGGCGATATTCACATGTACATGTACATGCACATACACTGTCACACATTTGCACACACATTCACACCCATATGCACACATGCACTGTCATACATGCATACATATACTCACACACAGATGCACTGTCACACACATACACACACATACAAATATACCCACAGTGTGTCACACGCAAACATATACACTCACACACATGCACTGTCATACATACACACATGCTCAAATACACACATATACATACATGAACTGTCACACACATACATGCATAAACACACATACACTGTCTCACACACACACACACACATGAAACCCATGTCTAAAGTTCCTTGTGGCTAAGATTGATTCTTGTCAGCCTTCCAGTAGCGAGACCTTCACAGCTTTGATGAGCTGAAAAATACTCTAGGGGCTCAATGAAAGGAGAAGCTGACTTCATCTATTTCACAATTTTCCGCAGACCTCAGCTCTGCCCTTTAGCATCCCGATCTAAAGGAGAAGCAGGAATCATGTAGGAAAGGCCTGGGATAGACAATAATAACCAACACAACAAAGCACTGGATATATGCTAGGAAAATTTCATGAATATTAAGTCTGTGTTCTCTGCAACGGCTCTATGAAGTAAGCAGCACTCTTATTCGCAGTATACAGTCAAGGAAATTGAGCCTCTGTGAGGGCGACTAATAATTTAAACTCAAGTCAGGAACATTTACTTAGATATTTTACTTGAGTCCATTAAAAAAAAGTAGTACTATGGCTATATACTTAATATTTTAATAAGTGTAAGGAAGGAAAACTAAGAAAAATATTTGCATATGTAATATAAATCATGAAATACAGTAGAGCAGTGGTATGCTGAGATGACATGGGGTGTAAGGCTGGAGTTTTGGAAGAACATTCATAGGTAAAGGAAGTTAGAGAGGAAATTATTGGAAGGGAATGAGGATTTGGAGAAAATGCACAGACGACAGGTGACAGGAAGCCATCTAACTTGTTTTCCACAATTGGTGAGTTGATATGTGAGACTGGAGACCAATAACACCTACATATCAGGATCACTTGCTCAGGGCAACTTCCAAAATGGAAACATCCGATATTGCCTCTGGAGGAGGGAGAATGGAGAAGTAAAGAGAAAACACCAAGGATTGAATCTGGGGAAATGCACTTGTTTGGTGGCAAGGTGAATGAGGAAGGTCTGAGAAACAGGATTTGAGAAAGCAGGTGGTATAATACTAAGAATCCCAAAGAGTCAAGTTTCAAGAATATTGCTAATGGGCAAGAAGAAAAAGGATGGAGAATTCCTGCTTATCGGGCCATTTGATGATTTTAGCGTATGCTCTTGCTTGAGGTGGTGAAAAAGGGATTCTATAGAAGGTAGATTTCAGGTCCTATACAGGGTATTTTGTGAGACCATGAATGACATGATTATAGGTAATATATAATTTGAAACATTTAGAATAATAAAGCATTAAAGGCAGAAAACAGGGAGTTTAAAAATTATTATTTTTTTTGTCTTTTTTCCTTGCCTTCTTGCTTTTTATCGTTTTTAAGAAGAGAAAAAAAAATCTGTGCTATGGACAGAAAGCAAGAGGAAACATCAAAGGTGCTGATGGTGAAGTAGGATATGCTATGAGACAAAACCTTGACAAGATGTATTAGAGAGCAGTGCTTCTCAAATTTGAGCAAGCATAAGAATGTCTGGGAGAACATATAAACACAGATTCCCAGGCCTTCACTTCAGGAGATTTTAAATGAGTGGGTCTAAGGTGGGACCCCAAAAACCTACATTTCTGATAAGCTATGCTGATCTGGTGCACTCTGAGCAGATCTATGCTGCATTTTCATGCTTCCCTTCTCTGCAGCTGTCAGCTTCCAGACACCCTGGGACTCTGCCCTCTCTTGGCTTTCTAGAAATATCACACTGTTCTAATTCCCCAGTCTCATTTCCAACATCATTTCTTTCCTCTTTGTGTTCTTTTCCTCTCAAACTATGAAATGTCCAGGGCTTGGTTTTCTGACCACTTGCTTTCTGCAGCATACATGTGAAAATAATTTATATCAATATTTCTAGATGGATCCACTGGCTCTACCCAACCCATATATTGTCATTCCTGCTATATCTACTTGGAAATCTCTTCCTAGTTGTCTATGCCTTCTACCTCACCTGAAAATCGCCTGTCCTTTATTTCTCTCCCAAATTTAGAGTCTTCCTTGACTGATGTGGCACCCACAATCTCTTCCCCTCACAGTTCAAGAAAGGAGTGAGTACTTGCCCTTTCATAACATCACAATCCAAAATGTGCTCCTTGATTGAATCTATCAATGTTTTGAAAATATCAATGTTAAAAACATTTGAGAACAACTGGGGACATTTGACAGTGGACTGGGGTGTGTATGACATTATTAAAGGATTGTTAGTTTTGTTGAGGAACATGTTGAGGTTATGTGGGAAAATGTACTTTTTCTGATAGGAAAATGACCTATAAATTGTTATTTAGCTCAAATTGCCCCAACCCCATTACCTGAGCGCAGTAACAGGGGAACACGACTAATTCATTAGAGTTGCTAAAGTTGTTTGCCATGCTATTGTGAGCCGTTTAAAGGACAACTAATAAAATATTAATTTCAGTGGCATGTCCAGAGGACACTTAATAAGATTATTTTTTGTTATTAGAAAAGTGAATATGGATGTTTTTGAAGTCTGCTTGAAGATATTTCTGGCTATTTCGTTTTTATCCTGAACAGAATGAACTCTCAGGTTGAAAATGGTCCTGATTTTCCAAAATAGAGTAGTCTGGGTATAGATAATAAAGACGTAGCTGAGTGCTGAAAAGGCAAATGAGATTTTGCTAAAAGGAGAGAAGTATTGACAAACTTCAGGGCCCAGGGCCGTTTCAGAATTCAGAGAGATTAGCAAGTAATTACATTTTTAATGAGTTTCTAGGATTGACAGACCTGGGGCTGATGTATTCTTGGGAGGTTACAGTCTAGGTGAGTGGGAGACATGCATTTGTGGAATGGCCCAGACAACAAATGGAGTCACTAAGAGCTGCCAAGACTGTAAAGCCCTGGTTTACAAACTTGACTGCATTTTGGACTCACATAGAGAGGTTTGAAAAATACTGATGCCTGGAACCCATCTCCTGTGTATCTGATTTAGTTGCCCTGGGGTGTGGCCTGTGCATCAGGATTTTTCAAAACTCCCCAAGTGAATCTAATGTGCATTCAAGGCTGAGAACAAGTGTATAGAAGTCCAGGATCAATTCCAGCTGGAGAATTTGACTTCCTGGTCTGGGCCCCATCCCTGCCCTTGAGGAGCTCTCTGACTGTTTTACTCTTTCTCTTCCCCTGCGTCTTAACATTTGTTCTACTTAAAAATTTTTGTCTTTCTTCCTTGAAAGTAAACTAACCACAACAAACAAAAGGAAATAAATGGTTGTTACATCCAGGCAGCAAACAAGCACTACCAATGATAGAGATCTTGGTTTATGTAAGTAGCCCAGTAAACAAACGCTATGTTAAAAGCTGAAAGAATGCCCTCCCCCTACTGCTAGAACAAAACACCATCCATATGTTGGCTGTGGTCTGATGAGTGATTCAACTTTCTTTCTCTGAGACTTTGTTGGTGTCTGATAGATGCCACTAGAGGCTATGTTCTATTCCAGCCTGTTTGAAATGCAAAGCCTTTTGTAGCAAAATTATCTCACTCTAGGAAAATAGACAAGTGGTCAGTAAACTACGGCTGTGTGGGCCAAATGCAGCCCACTTACTGTTTTGTAAATCCAGTTTCACTGGAACATAGCCATGCCCATTCATCTACTTATTGTCTATGGTTGCTTTTGCACTACAGAGAAGAGTTGAATAGTTGTGAAAGAGACTGACTGGCCTGCAAAGCCAAAAATGTTGTCTATCTGGTCAGTAACCAAAAAAAAAAAAAAAAAAAAAAAAACACCCCAAACCCATAGTTGCCAATCCCTGTAATGTAGGCATTTTCATGCTGTCGTGTTAGCATTTGCCTACTGTGGTCAATCAATTTGAAAAATGTCTCCAGTTCTTTACCCCTCCCTATATCTGTCTCATTTTCAACCTGACTGCAACTCCCCCTTATGCAGGCATGGAGCCAGTTTCACAAGCCACTGCATCTGGGTTGGCCTGGAGAGTAATTTTGACCTAGAATGCCAAGGAAGTGACACTGTATCCATCCTGAGTTGAGACTTCAAGAGACTTTGCAGATTTTCACTTGCTCTCTTAGCATCCTGACTCTGTGAATAAGCTTAGGCTAGCCTTCTGGATGATGGGAGATACACAGCCCGGGTTGCCCCACTGCCTTAGCCAACAGTCAGACAATCTCCCAAAGCAGAGTTGCCTTCTACTCTGCAGCTGACCGCAAGCGTATGAATGAGTCTGATCAAGACCAAAAGAAGGGCCCAGCCGACCACAGCACAAATTGTCAACCTGAAGATGCATGGACTACATACATGTTTGATGATTCACCCCACTACATTTGAGAGTGGTTTGTCATACAGCAAAAGCTAACCGATTCACCTATCATTAGGAATTAAGCCTACTAATTCTGTGGTAGGGTTTCCTTTTTTCCCTTTCTTTATTCAAAGCTAGAATATCTCAGTCTTGTCTTCAACCTCAATCTGAAAACAGAGAGAACAATGCACAGAAAGAAAAACTTTATGATGATTCTATGACAATTTCACCAAACACTGAGAAAAGAAACATAAAAATAACAACTTGGTTTTCAAACAGGAATAATAAATCTGCAAAGGGCCCACATATAAATATATACCAATAGCATTTTAAGGTAAAGAAAACTATATATATATTATATATATATATATATAATATATATATAATATATATATTTATATAATACATAAATATATATAATTTATATATATTTGCAGATTTTCACTTCATTTATATATATAATATATATTTTTATATAATATATATTATATGTTTATATTATATATAAATTATATATAATTTATATATAATTATATATATATTTTTATATGTAAAATATATATATATAAAATGAAGCAAGAATAAAACCAATAGCTGAAGAAATTGTAATAAAAAAATACCATGTACCAGGTACTGGTCATGCCAGGGATGACAATGAATGAGAAGCATGAAGTCCTTAATCTCTGTTTTCTTGTGGAGAAAAACAGACTACAAAGAAGTGAACACATAAACAAGATCATACAGCAAAAACATTTAGAAAAACAAAAATGTGAGTAATGTGATCAATCTTAGTAGACTATTATATACATTTTATGTATATATATAAATATAAAATAAGGCTACTATATATAATATATATAATAAGGCTATTACATATATAATATATATTTTATATATATATATATATATATATATATAATATACTATTAATGTAGTGGCAAACCATTGAGCTTCACCTTTCCCTTAGATGCTCTTTCTGCCTAAAGGACTCTACACTCAGATGGCTGCATGAAGTATCTGGGTCTCAGTTAAGTGTCAGTTCTTCATTGAAGCCTTCCCTGATGAGCCAGTTTATAATAGCCTACTAAGATCTATCACATTACTGGATTTTAGTTTTCTGAATATTTTTGCTCTACTGTCTTGTTTATTTTTGCTCTACTGTCTTATTTATGTGTTCACTTCTTTGTCATCTGTCCTTCTCCAAAAGAATGTGCTAGGGACTTCATGCTTCTTATTCATTGATGTATCTCCAGAATGACCAGTGCCTGGCACATGGTAATTTCAATTACAATTTCTTCAACCAGTGGTTTAATTCTTGATTCTCATGAGTATAATATCGTTTTATCTAAAAAATAAGTGCCTCCAGTCCATGACTAAATTGGAGGTGTTGATTTTTTAGCAAATGAAGATAGTAATAGCATAAAATTTTTAGTGGCATTTTTTCAATGAAAGAGTTATACAACAACAGTAAAATTTTTTCAATGAAAGAGTTATACAACAATCCCTGATTATACTTTTTCTTTATATGTGTCCATGTTTTTACTGCTAACATTAAGAGAATGTATCTTGCTGTTACCAACAGGTCACTATTTTTGTTTTACAAATAGTAGCTGATTAAGTTGTCCATTCTATACAACCCACAACAAACCACAGCCCAATATGTCAACAGAATATAAGGATTTAGAAGGCCTAAAATCTGTATGCTCAGGAAGACATCCAATTAACAGAGATTAAAGTTCAAATCTGACTCATAGACCTATTGGAAATTCTGGGCTGTGTCAAACAGTATCCAAGTTTGTTTTGCAATCAGGTTAAAGCTCTGGGCCTTGTGGGGGCTGGAGATTGGAATTCTGTTTTAAAACGAAACATGTAAGTCACTCTGCTTCCTACCAAGAAGTGTAATGAGTAGGTTTCACCTATGCTCCCCAGTCCCAAATAATTGAACTGGCATTAGGGCCAAAAAAATTGAAAATGTCTTAACATGCATTAATTGCTTAATGGTTGTGTTGTCTGCCTGAAAAGGGCGGGGTGGTATTTAGGTTGCTTAATGACTTTACATTTTCCCATGGCAAAAAACTTGTGATTTGGTTATGCTATAATTAAAGAGTTACATAAACAACATCTTTGGAAAGGAATACACTGGCTTCCTTGAAAGAGGGATTTTGGTCAGCTGCAGCTGGTATCTCAGGCCCCTTCATGAGGAAAAAACTGTCACCCCAAGGTTAACTCCTCTCTCTACCTCTTAGAAGTTTCCCTTGTTTTTATGCTTGCCTGTTTGTGTGTTGCTGTGAGTGTAGATCATGGGGGATGCGGAGTGGGCAGAGAGAGGATTTTAAAAAAATAAATGACATCTTATTGTATATAGACAGTTTTAAAACATATTGAAATATAAGTAAAAAGTACATTAAATTTAGAAAAGCCTCCAGACCTTGAAGCTAAGAAGCCTAGTAATGAGAAACCCCCAGGGCTGAGTGGGATCTATCTTGTAAAACCAGTTGATCAAATGTTTTTTACTGTATAAGAAAGGACCTTTGAACTCATGTGGTTTGCTCTCATGTGTCCCAGAAACTATTTCCTCCAGGAGTATGGATTCTAAGTTTCTTAACCATAGGTTTCTTGCAACTCTTGGCAATCAAGAGAGGTCTTTAGCAGGGAAGGTAGGCATTCCACCTCCCAAAGAAAGCATACCAGTCAGGATAATTTAAAAAGAAACCCAGGGGTTTGGTCTCAGGTTTACTTAGAATCTTTATTTTTGGACATTAAGAGGGCTTTTCTTTTTAGGTCCCTACTGCAATCCCTCCTTATTATACAGTTACAAGAAAGGAGGGAACCAATGAGCATAAATGTCAACTTATTTAACTATAGTTAACTTTCACAGTACATTTTCTTTTAATTTCCTAGATTTCAATTTTTTTCACATTGTAATCTTTGCTACATTTGGCAATGAGTCATTCATCATGTTTATGGATCCAAGTTTCCCACCAATAATTTACAATCTATTCTTAAATAAAAATAAATATCAACTGCAATTTTATTTTTCTTTAGACATTTTCACCTCCTTGGCTTTCAAATACTAGAAACTAAATCCTATAAGCCTTTCATTTACTAAATAGCTTAAGCCAGCAAACTGAGCTGAAATCAACTTGCTTTTCCATTAGACATATTGGCAATTCTTCTAAGGCTGGAATGAGAGGAGAGGTCTGGGGTTTGAGGGGTTTGCCTTAGAGGCTGTGGTAAACTGATAGCATTTCTGATCCTATTCATGACTTCTCAGTATTCAAACCTTTTGCACTAAGTCTCTGAAACTCTTCTCACTAAGAATAGAAGTTCATTTCTCCCACTGCTTGAATCAGGAATGTCTTGTGACTTGTTTTTGACAATAGAATGTGGCAGAAATAATGGGAGGTCTGTTCTAGCCTTCAAGAGACCTTCATGCTTTTCCTGTCTCTCATAGAAGCTTCCACAGCTACCACGTGAACCAGACCAGCCCAGCCTGTTGGAAGTTGAGAGGCATATGGAGACTTTAGCAGCCTCAGCCAAGAACTATATAAACCAGTCTAGACCCCTAAACATGTGAGGGAGCCCAGCCAACATCAGCATAACTACCTCCCAACCCACAGCTGACCACAGATGCATGAGTGAGCTTGTCGAAGGACAGCAGAACTACCTGATGCATGGAAGCATCATTGCTCATTACATGAGCAATGAAAAATACTCATTGTTCTGAGTACCTGAGTTTTGAGGTAGTTTGCTATACGTTAGTAATTTATGGATACAAATATTTAAGAATGATATTGTTTCTGGATCACTGCAACAGCCACAGAGGTCGGCAAGTGAAGAGATCAACATCCTTATTATGTTTATGAGGTACCATAGAGGAGCATTGATCATTAATGACAAATATGCAATGGATACCAATGAGATTTGAGACAGTTATTCTAGGATCTAGGAATAAAGTAGAAAGACCAACAGAGATGGTCCTCATCCTCAGGGATCTTACAGGCTATTGGGGATGACAGATATTTCAAAGTATTGATGTTAAAATGAAAGAGAAAGAAAAAGTTAGTGGATTTCAATATTGGCAGTACATCAGGATCATCTGGGGAAATTTAAAAACATACCAATGGTGAACTTCATCACAAACCAATTAAATCAAAATCTTTGTGGTTTGTTTCTGGGCATCAGCATTTTAGGACGCTCTCCAGATGATGACAATGTGTGGCACAGGTTGAGAATTACTGGTCTGCAGTGCTTTTCCAAGAGCAGTGTGTAGACCAGCAGCAGCAGCACTCAGGACCTTGTTAGAAAAGGAGAATCTCAGATCCCACCTCTGAATTGCACAGTCAGAATCTGGGGATGGGACATGGGGGCTGTAACCTATGTTCTGACAAATTATTTGTGGGATTCTTTTGCAAGCTAATGTTTGAGATGCACTGGTTTTTGTTTTGGGGCAGCAAAAATTGACATCGACTATTGATTACTTGGTACAATTGATACAGGTCAGTGTTTTTAACCCCCAAATTGGGGCTTAGCCCAGGATGGTTCATGGCTTTGTCCAGAAAAGAATTCAAGGATGAGCTGTTGGTGTGAAACAGCAACTTTATTGAAGTAGAGGAGCAGCAGCAGAGGAGCTGCTCTCTCTGCAGCAGGCTACCCTATATGCACTGTGCCCAGAGCAGTAGCTCAGAGGCAGTTCTGCATTCATATTCATACCCACTTTTGATTCTATGCAAGTTAAAGGGCAGTTTATGCAGAAATTTCTAGGATGAAGGTGCTAACTTCCAGGTTGTCCAGTCATTGCCCCGGAAAGAAAGGGATGGTAACTTCTGTCGCCATGGCAACAGTAAACTGACATGGCGCACTCCCCAAGTGCTCCATGTCTTAAGAGGAGGTACTTCCCCCTTTACCTGTTTTAGCCAGTCCTCAATTTGGTACCCTATCTGAGCCCCAGCTCCGGGGTCATGCCTCCTATCTCACAATCACCTACATACTCTCTCACACACACAAATACTCCTAAGAATAAATTGTCAGGGTTGTTTAGGTATAAAGTTGAGACATATTGTATTGAGTCTTCAGCTATTAATATGGGTGAGCTATACAACAAAAGCTCATATGATACTCATTTTAACCTTGCTCATGACTTGAGTGCTCTGTGAGCCACTCTGTTTAAATTCCCTAGAAATGTTTTTCCACAAATACCAGAATTTACAACTTTATCTTAGGATAGAAGGCTCATGGTGCCATGTCTAACAGCATTTCCTCTCTTCTATAGTTTCCATTTCAATTTGTAATATAACATTTTAAGAGTGGTCCTTGTTTCTGGATGGGTTTAGAGGCTAATGCAGATTGAGTTCCCTTTGAAAGAGTCACTCTCCATCAAATTAAGGAGATCATAGTTTATGCATCTACTTTGACTCTCTGAAATGTCCCAATTTAGACAATATATTATTGATTACCTTACCTAATATTAATAACTGCATTATCTTTTGGAAGAAATAATTTTTGCCTTTTTTTGTTTTAAAAAAAAACTATAAATTGTTATTAGATGTAAACATTTCTTGCGGGGGCAGGGCCAAAATGGCAAACTTGAAACAATGGTGTTCCTTGGCTCCATCGAAGAAAACATAACAAGCATGTGAATCATTTACCAGTAACCAGGGTATCCAGGTTCTCTCATCAGAACTGACTAGGAGGCTGCTGTGATCCAGGGAAAGAAGCAAGAATAGTGTGGTAGAGCAGCCCACCTGAGAGCCACAGGGGAAAGGGAAACCTCCTCCCCGTAGCCAAGGGAAGCGATGAGTGACCATGCTACCCAGCTGGGGAAAGCATGCTTTTTCTACAGAATTCTGCAACCCACGGATCAGAAGTTCTCACTTGCGAACCCATGCCACTGGGGACTAGCGTCCCAACTCTTAACAGCCTCTCAGCTGGAATCTACTTAAGCCTACTGAATTCCCATGGGGAGAGGCAACCAGCATCTCAGCTTCCGCTGCCTGCTGTCTAAACACTTTGAGCTCCTTCAGGGAGGGGCAGTACCCAGCACTGGGACTTGCAAATGCCTAACACCCTAAGCTCCCAGGGTGGGGGAAGGGCAGCACCTGTCTCTATAGCCCCAGGCTGTGTTTTTCCCCTGCTGGAGCCAGAAATGCTGAACAGCTTGATTCTAAGACTTGTCCCCCACAGTCCAACACACCTGCCGTGGCAGTCTGAGGCCAGAGAGCCTCTTCAGGCTTAACCCTGACCCACGCTTCCTCATTGGGCAGGGCTTCCCTGTGAAAACTCCAATAACTCCAGCCAGAGAGGCTCAGGGACAGAATTCGGATCTCCCTGGACCCGAGTCCTTCGGGGAGGGGTGGCCATAGTATCTGTGGACCAGCAGACTTAGCATCTCCTCCTGGTAGTTCTGAGGAATCCAGGCAGCCCAGATGAGTGTGTTTCCCCCTAGCGAAACACACTCTCTCCACTAAGGGACAAAGTACTTCGTTAAATGAGTCCTGTTTCCTGTGTCACCCAACTGCGTGAGACCCTCTAACCGGGGTTGTCACACGCCCTTATACAGGAGCAATCCTGCTGGCATCAGGTTGGGTGCCCCTTCCAGGTAAGAGATCCCAGAAGAAAGAGTAGGCACCCATCTTTGCTGTTTTCCAGCTTCCTAGAGTGGCATATCCAGGCACAGGAGCAAATCAGATGAATAAGGCCTGAAGCGAACCCCTAGTAAACTGCAGCAGTCCTACAGAAGAGGGACTTGACCATTGAAAAAAGAAACCAAACAAACAGAAAACAACAACAACAGCATTGACAACAACAAAAAGCCCCCACAAAAACACCATCCAAGGTTCAGCAGCCTCAAAGACCAAAACTGGATAAACTCATGAAGATGAGAAAGAATCAATGAAAAAATACTGAACACCCAAAAGGCCAGAGTGCCTCTTCCCTTCTAAATGATCACAGCACCTCTCCATCAAGGGCACAGAACAGGATGATCTTGATCAAGTAGGCTTCATCCCTGGGATGCAAGGCTGGTTCAACATACGCAAATCAATAAACATAATCCATCACATAAACAGAACCAAAGACAGAAACCACATTATTATCTCAATAGATGCAGATAAGGACTTCGATACAATTCAACATCTCTTGATGTTAAAAACTCTCAATAAACTAAATATTGGTGGAACATATCTCAAAATAATTAGACCTATTTATGAAAAACCCACAGCCAATATCATATTGAATGGGCAAAGCTGGAATCATTCCCTTTGAAAACCAGTGCAAGACAAAAATGCCCTCTCTTACCACTCCCATCCAACATAGTATTGGAAGTTCCGGCCAGGGCTCAGCTGGGGCTGTCTGCTGAAGTATCTGCACATGGTTTCTTCACTTGGCATGGCTTCTTATAGCATGCAAGAGGGATCCACAAAGGAGTATTTTAAGAAGCATCCAAAGAGAAAGCATTTCAAGAAAACTAGAAGGAAGTTGCTGGGCCTTTTACCATCTATCCTCAGAAATCACATTAGCATAACTCCCATTGCTTGATTGAATGAAGCAGTCATAAACCCAACCAGATTTAGAAAGAGGGGGCATAGATAAGGCATCTTGTGGGGAGGAATGTCAAGGAATCTGGGGACCGCATTTGCTGAGCACCTTTTATATTGATGCCACAATCATAAGGAGGTGTTTTCCTGCCTCCCTTACTCTCTTCCTCTTTCCTTTTTCTAGTGCCTGATGTCCTTGTAGTGTCCTTTAATTATATTATTCTTTGTAAAACTTTTCCACCATGATCCCCACATCCATGCATCCTATCTTCCACCTCTTCCCACAGGAATTTTGTTCTCTCGACTTGGATTATCTTTGCTAGGGTGTAGTGTCAATTACTTTGCTGAAATATTGCCTAAATTTTGAATTGTTGAGCAATTTAATGCATCCAGAAGGGTCTCTTTATATTAGTTGGAGAATGTGCCAATCCAAATGAGCAATAATTAGCAGAAGGTGTGGAGATCATTGTCAAGCTCAGAAGCCCTCCTTTACATGGTCTTGTTTTCCATGTATTTCTCATCTCTTCCCCAGACCCCATGCTACCCCAAACTAAAGGAAGAGCTAAGAGCATGGTGTCATTCCATTTCAGAGAGAGATGCCACCCCTTGCTATGACTCTCCCAGCACCACCCTGGTCCAGTTGTTATAACTGCATTTCCATACTTCATAGTGTCTAAGATGGCTTTAACTATAAAATTCACTCTTATTTTATGAACAACTTAGGAAAAACTGCTTCTAAATAACATATAATGCAAAATTTTTTGTGCAATGGGGCATAGGAAATTTTTGAGTATGATTGGCCTGACCTAAATTTTGATTGTCATGGTGATTACAAGGGTACGTACATTTGTCAAAGCCTATGACATAGTTCCATTTGACCATGCTAAAAACAATAAGCATGGTAAGGTGGGGAATGCTAACTTATGTAACCTTCAAAATGAGTGAGGACTGTAACATCAAATGCAAAAGGAGCTGTGCATCAACACTGTACCTCAGTGGATAAAGTTGTTTCCCACAGAGTATAAGCTAATAATTCTGAAGCCACTCTGAATGTATACTGTAATTGATCAATTAAGCAAATAGATGACAGATGGTGAGAGCCAAGTTTCTCATTGTAGAAAGCAGGAGAGAAAACAGAGGAAAGTGGAATAGGCTATGTGTGTTAATGGATTGGAATTTGAGACCACAGTAAGAATTCATCTTTAAATGAATGTGGTTATAGATCATTAGATGGAAAATATTAATAGACATGCATATAAACACACAGGTTAGTATGTGTGTGTGTATATATATATATATATATATATTTCCTGATTTTGTCAGCTGGGAAGGCTGAGAAGCAATGGCACCCTATTGGCCATTGAACATATCTAACATCCAGATCTTGGTTTTTAAGATCTCCAAAACAAAAAAATAAGCAAACAAACAAAAAACCTTGGGAAAGTGGCTGATTCTTGGACTAAAGCAGAAAATATATTAAGTCTGAAGCATCTTGAAATGCCAAAAAGTGAGGAAGTACTTAAAGTGTACACACACACACACACACACACACACACACACACACAAAATAATGGGGTATGTTAATGGGAATATGGAAGCCAGCTGAAAGAGCCCCAAGTGGCTAAGTTAGAATAATCTGAGCAACACAATACATAATGCAGTATTGAATTGTAACCCAAAGTATAAAATAAATATCTACGATTCCATGCTAATATAAATAAGTGATTGAATATGTAAATGAATAGAACATACTAAACTGTTGTGCAGAATAATTGCAAATCATTTATATAAAAACCCTACCCTCAAGGAGTTGGAACATAACTCTTCCACTCCTTGTGGGCTGTGCATAGTGACTTCTTTCCAAAAGTACAAGATGGAAAGGAGGTGAAGAGTAAGTTTACAGTGGAGAAACCCAACAAAAACTACCTCCGGCAGATCATTGAAATTTGTATCAATACTGATGTTGAGGCTATGTTGATACTATGACATCACTTTTGATATTTGTGTACTTTGGATATTATGATGAATATGACACTTTACGTCTGTGGTCTTCCTCCCCAAAACTTATAACCCAAGTCAAATTATAAGAAACAGCAGACAAATCCCAATGAGAAACTTTACACGAAATACTTTTCACTGCTGTCCAGGTCATCAAAACCAAGAGGAGTCCAAGAAACTGTCACAAACAAAAGAAGTCTAAAGAATATGAAGACTAAATGCAATATGTTATCCTGAATGGGATCCTAGACCAGAAATAAGACATTAGGTAAAAATTAAGAATATCTGAATAAACTGTAAACTTCAGCAAATAATATTGCATTATTGTTGGGCATTCATTTAAACAAATGTACCATGTTAGTATAAGATGTTAACAGTAGAAGAAATTGGGTGTGAGAAATATGGGAACTCTGTCCTCGCTTTGAGACATCATTGTAAATCTAAAAATACTTTGAAATAAAAGTTATTTTTAAAAAGATATTGCAACAAAGACAGATTTATGAGAGGTAATAAAGAAAACTCAGAAACAAAACACCAGGCACAAATTATGGTCATGTCTCTGTCTCAGCCGGAAGCTTCTTCTGCTCTTATCTGGTCTCACTCATATGTCTGTGGACTCTGAGGGGAGGCAGCTCTACTGATTTTGACTAAAATCTATTGCATTTTTGGCATTGCCTGGCAATAGGCTGGTCTAGGATGGCCTTATCTGATACAGTTGGGCTCTGGCCCACCCCACCTCTTATCTTCTAGCAATGCTGGTCTGGGCTTGTTCACATGGTGTTACATTGGTTAAATGATAGTGGAAGTACTCACGCTTCCTTGTTCACATGGTGTTACATTGGTTAAAAGAGAGAGTGGAAGTACTCACGCTTCCAAAGGCCTAGAATCACAAACAAAACATTATCACTTCCTCCACATTCTGTTGGCCAAGGCAAGTCACAAAACTAGACTAGACACAAGTAGAATGGAGTGTGTTGGGGTTGGGAAGCAGAGTAAGTGAAAATAGATTCCATTTCCTATACGAAAGAGCTCCAAAGTCATATCGCCAAGGCAAGAAGCACTGGAGACATTTTTGCAAACTACCACACTATTTTAAGATGGCCCAGAATAGATCAGATGATCTTTTTATGACAATTCTTGATATAGTTTTATTTCTAAGCCATGATTTCTGCCTTTCATTAATATATGTATCAACAAATATTTATGAGCGTCTTAAATGTGTTAGGCTCTTTCACCTATAATCTTAGAACTAAAATTTTACGTTATACTCAAAAGTGAAATGGTAGATTCCTTTGTTTTGGGACATCTGTATTTTTGAACACACATGGCCAGAAAATAAACCACAATTTATTTATTTATTTTTTTATCAATGTCCCTTGAGCCACACTAGACATTCTAGCATAAATTCTAAATAGTCTTTCCTTAGTGATAAATATAGAAGAACTTTTGCTAATTTTCCTACTAACCATCTGACATATCTAACTGTACGGGCAGAAAAATTTCAACTTCCTCCTCTTAGGGTTCCAGCAGAGTCTAAGAATTAAACTGACATAGATAGATAAATAGGAGAAAAGCACGCAAATTTATTTAACAAGTTGTATGTGTCATGGGGACCCTCATAAAGAAATAAGGACTTCCCCAAAGCAGTTAGAGTCTGTTACTTACATGCTAGATTGAACAAAGGATAGTAACCTGTGAAAATGTGGCTAAACTATGTAAGGACAGGTAAAGAGGAGTTATTCTAATAAGGTCTGTATAGTATTCTCTCAATCTGTTTCTCATTTTTGAAGACAAACATCTTGCCTTTCTTCTGGTATAGGGAGAGTGTCTAACCCAGGAGTTACATCTTTTGCTCTTAGGAAACAGCATGAAGGCTGAAGAGATCATTTTTCACCTGCTGCTTTACAAGTGTGTTTAACTTAATGAGTCAGTATGGCAGAATGACATATTTCAGCCTCTTCACAACATTTGAGCAGCAATACTCAAAGTGTGAACAGACTGTAGACCAGAAGCTTTAGTACTACTTGAGGCTTGTTAGGAATGTTAGAATATCAGGTCCTAAACCAGTCCTGCTGAATCAGAATCCCTGTGGGTAGAACCCAGGAATCTGCATGTTTCCTAGTTCTCCAGGTAAAGTTGATGAGTAAAAGTTTGTAAACCACTGGTTTAGGGCCCAGTTTTTCAATGCTTTTTCATCATTAAGAATAAAAGGAGTTGTGTATTTCCGTATCACCATTAAATGAAGTAGTGACCATGATGCAAAAATATAACTTTATACTAAAGTTACATTTTTGAATTAAAACATTTGTTCTTATTCTACTGTATTCTGAACATTAGGCTTTTGATTTATTTATTTCCACCTCACCCCAGTGTAGAACATATGATTATTTGTTCTCAATATTAGGCAATGGCTTTTGAGCAAAATAAATAAAGATTGACTTTGACCTTGATATAACACAGCAGTACAAAATCCACCATGGATGCTTCTTTTCATGTTATTAGTGTTACTCCTTTTAGCTGATTTCTTAGGTTCTTTTATTAATTCTTTCTTGAAAGATATAATAATATGGAATTTCACTACCTCAAGCTTTTTCATTTTTGCCCTGATATTCATTCTGTCTCATAGCATTCAGCCAGCTTCCTTTTTCCCTCTATCAGACTCTCAGCTGTTTTGATTCAAT